ATCTCTTTGAAATTGGCTGAAAGGCAATCATGTGGACACTTAGGTATAAACGATTTGTGAGGGAGAGGGAAGGGATGAATCTGGAAGGCGCAGAAGTAGCGGAGCTAATTGTTAAACCACCAGTACCCCAAGGGGTCTTAGGCCCCCTTGGGGACGCCCTGCGGCAAATGCATATGGACCTGCGCGGCACACCGATTCAGCCACCACGTTAATGGCAGTACTGGCGATTTAACTTTGTCCAAACAGAGATTCAAGCACAGTGGAAGAGACTTGCACCAAAGTTTAAAAAGATATACAACAAGCAATTTATCAATTCGATCGGGACTGGCTAGGGGAAATTGCAGGGGGCAGGGTTTGGTTGTGGTGAAATTGTCAGTTGGGGAAGGGGTCTAGGAAATCTTTCACAAGAGACTTCCAACTCTTCTTCCTGGACTGGTTCAACTGTCACTCCAGCCAGGAGTTTCTTTCTTTCTTTTTTTTTGTTTCTTTCTTTTTTTTTTTTTTTTTTTTTTTTTTTTGGTCAAACAGCCTGAGAAGGTTGCTAGGGGTGAGCTCCACAATATTTATTTCCTCTGAACGTGTCAAAGCTTTGGTTGACATGCATTGGTTTGGATTAGGGGATAAAATGAGTAAAGGTTCTTTTGGGTGCCATCAGGGATAAGGAAGTTAGCTTGCGAGGTTGAATCTGGCGGTCCCGGTTTGGACTGAAGAGTGAAGAGGCATCCCCCTCCTATATATATCCTTTCTTTTTTTTTTCTAGTTTGAGCTCAGAATGGTACTCGATAGGATGCTCGACCCGGTTTCCAGCAGGTGCCACATTTCCAGTTTATGCTGATCAATCATTTTATTATTGTATTTTTTCAGGGGACACTGGACCCACTTTCCAGTGTACGCCCTTATCATCACTCCTAACTGTTGACACGGGATGTTTAATTTTATATTAGGGGGGGGGAATACAAAAGATTGCCCCCTTCAAGATGATTGAGGGGTGACAATCCTGACTGATAGACACTGAGGTAGGATCGTGGGGGTGGGGGCGCACCGGGGATTATGATGAATCAGTGGTAGGTTGGGATGGAGTCCTGTAAGGAATAATGCCTCACCATCTCAATAACCACATGGCTGACCACATGGCCGACTACCAAAGGCGACCGTCATATGCCCCTAGTATCCTACCTTTACGACAACCTGGGCTTTTGAAAAAAGAGAAAAAACAGAAAAAAAAATGAAGGTCAAATAAAAAAAAACAAAACAAAAAAAAACCGGAGAAAAATATATATCCACTGGTGACAGACCCCGACTTGTTGGCTATTTCAGGACACTACCAGAAACAAAGACGTGGAACATCAGCTTTAAACCACCGGCACCTTTCCCTGCTTAAAAAACGAAAAACGAAACGAATACAGAGAGGTTACCACGAACAACTTTTAGGGCTGGGCTGCCACTGGAAAAACTTCATCAGCGGCCCGTGCTGTGTTTTTTTTTGGGCCTCCAAAAGTGCGGTGAGGGGCCCGCCGCCAACATATGGGAAACATACTGGTGGTTTTAAGGGCGTCGCCGCAAGGGACACGAAACGAAAAACGAAACGAGTGCATCTTCCTGCAGAAAATGGCCAGGTTCATCGGTTTGCTAAAAATAGTAACGAGTGTATTTTGCCACCTTTCGTGGGCAGATGCACTCGTTTCGTTTTCATTTCGGGCGCCGTGCGGCGAGACCCTAAGTCATATGACCCGGAACCGAGTCCCACTTACTACCCGAATTCTCAATTTTTAACCATAGATCACAATGATCAACAGCAAGAAATGTGAACATCTGGACAAGTGGGACTTGGCACTTGTCCGCAGGGGCCCCACTGTCGAGCGAACTGGTCCCGCAGGGAGACCCTCCCAACCACATCAGGCAGGATTTTGCAGGATCTCTCACGGAAAGCGTTTGCCGCTCCAGCCGAGTGCGCCAGCTGCACCTTTCGTGAGCCCCTACAACTGCATACGGTCACGCGAGACACAACTTACCTCCACCCGCGGGAGCTGTCACCACCCCTTGGGTGGGCGTATCCCCGCCGGTCTACCGAACCACGTGCGAAGGCTTTTCATATGCAATCATAGAGGTGGCCCGACCAAGGGCGTTTCTCGTTAGCTGTAGCATAGGGGGGACACACGGTTAACCCCCAAATCGGACTTCTGCAGGAATCGCCACTCGAGGTGTTGATCTCTCGAACGTGATCCTATGCCGGTCGACTAGGACGGCCATTCTAACCACGCGATACACTTCTTGATAAAAACTCGCCTCTACATGCCATATCGCGCATAGTCCCTTTTTCCACTCAACCCCATAATTGTTTTCGTATTTGAGCACAAATATGTCCCGCGCAAAACTTCGCATAAATAATCATCGCTTCGCAGGGTTCTGTCATAATGATTAGTCATGCGCGAATACATGACCAGTCGAGATGATGGATTGCTATGCAGTGCCTATAAACATGCGATCCCCTTCCAATCATGGGCTGGCATTCGACGCTTGCCTGTTGGCCAACACGAGCGTTAAAGGGTAAATCCTTTAGCAAACGCATAAGCGGACCGGGCACCCTGTCATCTTCTGCACCCTGCTGTGCCCCAAATGGGGTAGGGTAGGATGGCACTGGGGATAGACAGAAATTAGGAGTGGTGGTTGAGCAGGCTAACCTTTCTACCCAGAACCTTATCGTTCCAACAAGATAACTTTTGGACAAAGAAAATCAAATTGTCGTGCAGCACGCATTCCAGCCGAACGCGGACCCAAAAAAAAAAAAAAAACTGGAAAACATATATGTTATACAGAAAGACAACTGAACAACATTTGCCTCAGCGTCACACCCAGATTCTGTACCAAATTTGAAATAAAAATAATATCCGTAAAACAAATAAAACTGATGAAAAATATGAAAAAATGAAGAGAAAAATCTAGGTCACCAGATGTCCGATCGGACAAGTCGGACATCCAGAGGGGTCGACATCCAGAGGGGTCCCCGACGTCCGGCCTGGAAAGCTAGGAGAAATTTAAAATAAGGGCGTGAGCAGGCACATTTTAAACACTGCCATCTTTGGCGATTTTTCCTTTTTTTTTGGCTTCGTGAAGTGCCCTGCAAATTTATAACTGTGTACTTCACATGATTCAAAACTCATAAAAAAGAATTCAAAAAATAATAAAATTGTTTAGGCCTTGAAATAAAGGCCGAAACAAAAGTGAAAGGAGAACCAAAAAACAAAAGATTGAAAAGAGTGAGTGGGCGAGCATATTTTGACACCGCCATCTTTGAAGATTTTTCTTTTTTTTCTTGGCTTAGCAAAATGGCTTCAAAATTTATATGCATGTACCTCACATCAAAATTTATATGCATGTACCTCACATCAAAATTTATATGCATGTACCTCACATCATAAAGAACTCACAAAAAAAAAAAAAAAAAAAAAAAAAAACTATGTATACGGGTTCCGGACATCCTGGACAATTCCATTTTTAGAGTTAAAAGCACACAAAAGGGCAAAAATTGGGGTTGTTTTTAATGAATTTTTTTATTTTGAATTTGAGAACGAATTTCGATATCATCCCAAGGCAAAAGTTGTTCAGTTTATTTTTCTGCATTACACAGTTTTTTTTTCCGATTTGCTTCTTTTTTTCCCTTTTTTCCTTTTTTTAATTTATTGCATTCAATCTCTGACAGACTGCCCGGTGTGGATGTCCAACCAGTTGTCCGACCACACAACCCCAGACGGTCAGGGGGTTCCCAGACATCCGACCAGGTAACCTAGACAAAAATGAAAAATTCACACCAAACCCCAAAATATTTATTGGCGGGGGCCGAACCCCTTCATGTTTAGACCCCGTCAGGTTTAGACCCCGAACGGGACCCCAACCGCCCGAACATACAGAGGTCGTCCTGGGGGCCTCTGTAAGTATGGACAGGTAACCATCGTCACTGTAGTATTACGGGCAACCCCATAGCAGGCACATTGTTATCAGCAGCCACATCGATCTCATAACAACTGGCACCAAAATTCCGCCC